CCCAGTACCGCTGCCCAGTACCGCTGCCCAGTATCCCTGCCCAGTACCGCTGTCCAGTACCGCTGCCCAGTACCCCTGCCCAGTATCCCTGCCCAGTACCACTGCCCAGCAACCCTGCCCAGTACCCCTGCCCAGTACCCCTGCCCAGTACCACTGCCCAGTATCCCTGCCCAGTAACCCTGCCCAGTACCGCTGCCCAGTACCCCTGCCCAGCACCCCTGCCCAGTACCCCTGCCCAGCACCCCTTCCCAGTACCACTGCCCAGTACCAATGCCCAGTACCCCTTCCCAGTACTGATGCGAACCCAATCAGCACTCCAGCACACAGCAAAACTATACATAGGATTCCAAAGCCCCACCATCTTCCATGGAAAAGGATTCCCTGATGGACACACCCTGCTGACCCAGTTGAAGCCTGGTGAGAGGCTGAGTGGAGAGCTGGGTGCCCCGGGCAGCCCATGTGCCCTGAGTGCCAGGGCTCAGGCGGTCAGCCAGCGGCCTCAGCTCAGATGTGCTTTGCCTCAGCTGTCCAGACCCCAGCAGACACCCAGGAAACCTCTAACAAACCAGCGGAATGAGAGCACCAACCACATCACCTGAGCCACAAACCAGCCACAATTCAACGTGGACAATGAATGAATAAGGACGACAGAAGAACGGAGGCCTTGAGCTGTGCAGTGAGAGGTGAGGACGGAAGATCCGGAGAGGAGAAAGTGCAACTAGAACACTCCTTGGAGGCAAAGATGATAAAGACTCATCCCACATACTTTGAGCATGTCACTGTTGTTGTTGCTGGGTGCTGTCAAGTCGGGGACGACCTTAGCAACCCTGTGAGCAATATATCTGCAACCTGTCCTGTCCTGTGCCAACCTCACAACCTCTGACACGCTCAAGCCCAGTGCAGTCGCCAAGTCCATCCACCTGCTTGAAGGTCTTCTCTTCCACATCCTCTCTCTCTCTCTCTCTCTCTCTCTCTCTCTCTCACACACACACACACCCCTTTCCAAACATGATGTTCCTCTCCAAGAAATAACTTCTCCCAGCAACATGCTCAATGTATATGAAATGAAGCTTTATCTCTTTCCCTCTAAGAAGCACTCTGGCTGCACCTTCTCCAAGACATCTCTGTTTGTCCTTTAGGAGTCCATGAAATATTCGGTATTCTCCTGATAGCGGGTCAAAAAACTGTGCAACGAAGTTCCCATCTGTGCTTGTAACGGGCAGTGTGGCACATTCATCGCCCCCAGCACAATCCTGTCCAGCCTTGCCCACTATGCCCTCAAGGCTCTCCTGGACACTCCCTAAGCCCCTGGGGCTGGGAAGCTGGAAACTCGGCCATTAGTGTTTCAAATACCAGCAGGGTCACCACTGGTAGCCAGGTTTCAGCAGAGCTCCAGAGTAACAGAGACTAAGAAGCAGGGTGGCCATCAAATGTACGGACAGCGGGACAGGACTGCTGGGTGTAGGGAAAGAAGATGCTCCTCTCAGGTGGGAAGGCACTTCCAGTGCCTCTGGGGACAGTTTGGCAGCACTCAGCTCCTTCCTGGCCAGGTTCAGCCTGGAAGCAGCTCTGGGTGTGGGTGCGGTAGCATGGGAGTCTGGGGCGCTGAGAGGGAGTCTTTAACAGCCAGGACAAAGTCCTCCCAGGACTCATTCAGGTGCCAGCAGACAGCTGCTACACTCCTAGAGTCCCAGCGTCCCCGCGTCCCAGGATCCTGCCTGGTCGCCCACCATGACCACAGCCACGTCGGGGCCCTGGGTGCTCCTGCTCCTGGTGCTGGGCCTACGGCTACAGCTCTCCCTTGGTGTCATCCCAGGTAAGGAGGCCCCAGCCCAGCTCCCACTTCTCCCCAAAGCACAGGGACCCCTGGCTGACGGGCTCCCCCCCACCACTCCCCAGTTGAGGAGCAGAATGCAGAGTTCTGGAACAAGCAGGCGGCCTCCGCCCTGGACAGTGCTAAGAAGATGCAGCCCATCAACACGGTGGCCAAGAATCTCATTCTCTTCCTGGGTGATGGTGAGTATGACAGGTCTGTTGCCTGTGCACCCTCAAGCCAGCCTCACAGATTCAGGCTGTCCAGAGTTCTGCTTTTTCAGGGATGGGGGTACCCACTGTGACAGCCACTCGGATCCTAAAAGGACAGATGAATGGCAAGCTGGGACCAGAGACACCACTGGCCATGGACCAGTTCCCATACCTGGCTCTATCCAAGGTAAAGAGGCTGGTGGCAGGGAGGGTGGGGAGGTGAGCAGGCCCAGGGTACAAGTCACCACCCGCAATGTGCCCCAGACCTGGAGCTGAGGCTGCCTGTACCCACAGACCTACAACGTGGACAGGCAAGTGCCGGACAGTGCAGGCACCGCCACGGCCTACCTATGTGGGGTCAAAGGCAACTACCAGACCATCGGCCTGAACGCCGCTGCCCGGGTAAACAATTGCACCAGCACCCGGGGCAACGAGGTCATCTCCGTGCTGAGGCGGGCCAAGAAAGCAGGTGAGCTGGGAGGACCGGGTGGGGAAGTCCGGGCATCCCCGAGGCCCAGCCGCCGGCCTCCTGACCTCTGTCACCCACAGGGAAATCCGTGGGGATCGTGACCACCACGCGAGTACAGCACGCATCACCAGCTGGCACCTATGCGCACACGGCCAACCGAAACTGGTACTCGGATGCCGACATGCCCGCCCAGGCGCTGCAGGAGGGGTGCCAGGACATCGCGGTGCAGCTCATCTCCAACACAGACATCGACGTAGGGCCCCCCACCCACCCGGGGCAGGCGGGGTTCAGCCAGAGGGTGGGAGGCGGGGAACCAGGCCTAGTTCTAAGCCTGGGGCCTGGGACGGTCTACCTGGAGAGGGTCATGTCAAAGTGAGGGCAGGCCACAAACCACCCGGGGCCATGGCTCAAGGCTCTCTCAGGAGGGGACACAGGGCCAGCCAGGCCCCAGACCCACCTGCCCCATTCTCTGACTTCAGGTGATCCTGGGCGGAGGCCGCAAATACATGTTTCCTGTGGGGACCCCAGACCCTGAGTTCATCAATCAGAATGGGTCCCGTCAGGATGGCAGGAACCTAGTTCAAGAGTGGCTGGACAAGCGTGAGGTAAGGAGACTGGGCCAGTGGGGACCAGCAAAGACCATCAGCGTGGGGGTCCCAGGGCCAGCCCGAGGTCTGAGGTCTTGTCTGTCCCCCAGGGCACCCAGTATGTGTGGAACCGCACTGCTCTCATCCAGGCTTCCCGGGACACCTCCGTGAAGCGTCTGATGGGTAACTGCCCGCCAGCCTCCCTCCCACCTTTGTGCTCCCCAAGCCCCAACCTCCATCCAACCCACCTCCATCGCCCCTCTTCCCACAGGCCTCTTCGAGCCAGGAGACCTGAAATATGAGGTCAATCGAGACCCCAACCTGGACCCATCTCTGTTGGAGATGACTGAAGCGGCCCTGCGCGTGCTGTCCAGGAACCCCCGCGGCTTTTACCTCTTTGTGGAGGGTGAGTGACCTCGGGGGTAGGGGTCGAGGGGTGGGGGCGGCAGAGGGGTGAGGTCAGGCCACTCACACACCATTCCCCATACAGGGGGCCGCATAGACCATGGCCATCATGACGGTAATGCTTACAAGGCCCTGACTGAAGCAGTCATGTTCGACTCCACCATCGAGAGGGCGGGCCAGCTGACCAGTGAGAAGGACACGCTGACTCTGGTCACCGCTGACCACTCCCACGTCTTTGCCTTTGGAGGCTACACACTAAGAGGAACCTCCATCTTCGGTAGACCAGAGGGGATGGTGGCCTGTGGTCCAAGGGAAATTCAGTGTCAGAAATAGAGCTCAGCCTCAGTTTTCCCATCCAGCATATGGGCCTAATGGTGGGACGAGTAGGTCCCTCGGGGTGGTGGTGGTTGTTATGCACCGTAGTATGGCCTTCCACTCACAGTGACTGTAAGCTCTGAACCCTGTCCTATCCTGATTCCGTCTCACTGACTCCAACACACCTAACCCCATCGCCTGCGTTACCATGTCAGTCCATCTCATCTGGGTCTTCCTCTCTGCACTGTCTGTCCCTCCACTCTTCCAAAGATGATGTCCTTCTCCAAAGATTGGTCTCTTCTGGCCATGTACCCAAAGTATGTGAGATCCCTAAGGGTAGGCAGAAAAAAAGGGCTGACACAGAGGGGTCTCCCTCCAGCTGTCCCAGTGTCACCAAGTCCCCTCCCTCCCCACAGGGCTGGCGAGCAGCCAGGCCTCAGATGGCAAGAACTACACGTCCATCCTCTATGGCAACGGCCCAGGCTACCCACTGGGCAATGCCCGGCCTGATGTGAACGAAACTGAGATCAGTGAGTGCACAGGGAGGCCAATGGAGACGGCAGGAGAGGCCAGAGAGGGCTCGCCCAGGGAAATGACAGGAAGGGGACTTCTGGGAGAGGGGATCCCCCTGGGTGAGGGTGGGAATGGGACCTGCAGAGGTGATGGTGGGACGGGGACCCCCAGAGGCAAGGGCAGGAACGGGACCCCCAGGGGTGAGGTCAGAAAGGGATCCCCTGCCTAGCGAGAGAAGGGGACCCACAAGGGAGAGGTTAGGAAAGGGACCCCAGGGACAAGGTCAGGAAGGGGACCCCAAGGGACGAGGCGGGAAGGGGCCCCTCGGGATGCCGCCCCCTGACTCCCCTCGCTCCCCGCAGTGCGCCCCACCTACAGGCAGCAGGCGGCCGTGCCCCTGAGCTCTGAGACACACGGCGGCGAGGACGTGGCCTTGTTCGCGCGCGGCCCGCAGGCGCACCTGGTGCACGGCGTGCAGGAGCAGACGTACGTGGCGCACGTCATGGCCTTCGCCGCCTGCCTGGAGCCCTACACCGACTGCGGCCTGGCCTCTCTGGGCGACACCGCCTCCACGCCCAGCCCCTCGCACTCGCTGCTGGCGGCGCTGCTGCTGCTGCCCCTGGCACGCATGGCGTCCTAATCCCTGGGCCGCACTCCGCCGCCAAAGACGGCAGCCCCCCATTTCCTGCGCGGACCCCCCATGAGCCGGAGCCGCGGAGCCCCTCCTCGAGAGCCACCACCTCGATGTCCCTCCACCCCAGTCCCAGGGGCTACTCCAGGTTCTGCCATTGCACGACTGCGGGCGTGACCACTTCCCCTTTCCTGAGTGCTGCTCCCCTAAGCCCCAGCCCCACCCAGGGAGGCCCTGCACCCCACTGCAGTCCTGGAAAGGAGGTGGCGGCTCCCCAGCAGGCCCTGGTGCGCGCCAGGCTGGAGGCCTCGACCTGCCACCACCCCAGAGACCTCAGCCCCAGAGCGCATGAGCACCTGGTCGAGGGTCGCTCAGCCCAGAAGCCAGTGGGTGCTGGCAAAGCAGCCCTGAACCCCAGAGCGACTGGACACTCTGCTTTTGTGGCCATTGGGAAGGACTGCTGGGACTGAAAAATAGATTGGGAAAACTCACTGAAATCTAGTTAAATCTGCTTGTAGCAGATGCCTGGTGTTAGCCGTAAGGGTTGCCTAGGCTGGTGACTAAAAAAACCTAAAATACAGAAAGGACAGGAGACCTTCCTGCCATGTGATACTGTAAATAAAGATTATAAACCAGTTTCTGCTTCCAAGTTGTTAAGGCTTGTGGAGGAAGGTATGAGGGGTCTTCACTGGTCAGCCCTTCACTTGACCACTTCCTCACGGGGCAATGGCAGCATTTCCAAACCAGTTTGCAAAAAATACTCACTCCTTTTGTTTTCAGACAAAAACAGTTACTTTCTCCTTTTCGATTCCAAGGGCATCTTTACCTTGGAGGAGCAAATGCAGGAGAAGCTCTGAGATTAACAGCCCTGTCACCTCAAAATGTCAGCACAGTTGTGTCACAAGGGGGAAGTAAAATGAATGAAAACGTGGGGACCATTCTCAGGCCACCCTTGGGATGAGCCCCAAGTGGGAAGTTCAAGGTTGCTCCTAATCTCCTCTTCTAAGGCCATGGTCTTTGCCATTACTTGCTATGCTTCAGAGAGCTGGACAATGACGGGGTATGAGAGGAGAGTTGATACCAGACTTTGAGCTGTGGTGCTGGAGAAGAGTGTTGAATACACCATGAACTGCAAGGAGAACAAACAGGTTTGTCCTGGAGAGGGTGAAGCCAGGCTGCTCATTGGAGTCAAGGATTCTGAAACTCCACCTGACACACTTTGGACATGTTGCAAGGAGGGACCAGTCCTTGGAGAGGGACGTCATGTTTGGGAGGGTGGAGGGACAGGGCAGGAGAGGAAGACTCTAGATGAGATGGATTGATTGCGTCACTGAGGTAATGGGGATAGGCATGTTGGAGACAATAAGATTGCCAAGGGATAGAGCAGAGTTTAAGGCTGTTGAACATAGGGTCACAAGCGACTCAAGGGCACATAACAACAACAGACTACAACAAGGTCAAAAAGGTAGTCTCCACTCCATCCTGAGACCAGGATTACTTGGAGCCTGGCTCCCTCCCACTGCTGATGGCTCTCAAAGGGATCAAAACGGGGTTGGGGGGAAGATATAGAACAACAATCAATGCGGCCAGGGCTGCGGGTCTGATGGAGCCCCGAGACCGGCCCTTAATCACCCTTAGAGCCTAGAACAGAACTCACCTCTGTGGACCAGCTCTTCACTAAACACTAGGCAGAAGTATAAGGTGGACAATAACATCAGGGACGTTTCAGTCCTCACAACAGTCCTATGAGATCCATGGGGTGGCCACCCTTGGCCCTGGGATGAAGTTCAGAAGGCAGGAAAGCAGAAGAAGCTTGAATGGAATCTGGAAACACATGGAGGGAGTGGGAAGAGTGCTGTCACTGCAGGGACCATGGTCAGGGCCACAGATGTG